TATGCAGCTCAAAACTGGGGGCAATGCCGAGCAGCGTATAGATTGTGGCTGACAGATCCGAGGGTGTCACGGGACGCTCTTTCGGAAATTCGCCGAGTGCATCGCTGCTGCCGATGATTTGGCCGCCTTGCACACCACCACCCGCCAATACAACACTGAAACATTGGGCCAGTGATCGCGTCCCCCCTGTGAGTTAATCTTCGGGGTACGACCGAATTCACCCATCACTACTACGAGCGTCTCATCCAGCATGCTGCGTTCGGTAAGATCTGAATCAGTGCGGTGAATGCCGATCAAGGGATGGTAGATGTGCATTCCGATCCGTAGGGTAACGTTCTTTAAGTGTGAAGATATCTTGATGCGTATCCCACCCAGTATGGTTGACTGTCACGAATGGCACACCACGCTCAACAAGCCTCCGTGCCAGTAAACAACTCTGCCCGATTCCATTCACACCACCTGTGCCATATCGCTGGCGCACCTCTTGAGGCTCCTCAGAAAGCGTGAATGCCGCTTTGGCTTCGGGTGATGTAATCAGATTGTAGGCACGTTCCAACTCTGGATCCGACACCGTTGCTGCACCCGCATCTTTGGCAGTGCTAAATTCATTGAGCGCATTAACGAACTGTCTACGTCGTGAGACTCGGTGCAAATCAATCCCTTCATAGAAGTCAAGGTCGCGCACCTTAAAGTCCTGTCTTTTGGAATCACCGCCAACAGAAAATGGACGTGTGGCACTTGGTAGATATCCGTTACCTGACACTTCACGCGTGAAATTAGGAACTGCAATGTTAGGAGGCAAAGCAGTAGAAGCAGCTGCTTTTTCGATAGCATTACCCGAAGATTCTTTACCATTTTGAGACCTGATATAGGTGAGTGTTGCACCAAAAGTCGGATACTCCAAAGCGGGTGTAGGTTTGTATCCTGTCATCAAGTATTGGGTGCCGAGGCTGTGTTCACCTAACGGCGAGGTCATTGAGCGAATAATAGCAATTTTATCCATAATGCCCGCCGTTCGTTCCAAGCATTCACTGATACGTACGCCTGTCACGTTTGTAGGAATAGTTTTCAGCGGTCCGCGAACCTCTTGCGGCGCATCTGGTTTCGGATCAAAGGTCTCCAGATGGCTGGGACCCCCATCAAGCCATATTAGGATGCAGGATTTTGCTTTTGCTGTGAGTGTATTGGTGCTGGCAAAGGCGCGTTGTAGGTGGAAAAAGTCGCCCAAACCTAATCCAAGTGCTGCCAATCCACCGATGCGTAGGAAATCGCGGCGGCTAACACCGTCACATCGTTTTGTAGCGTTCATTTGTTTCCCCTCATATTGCAGCATCTTTTCTATTTCATGTAGGGACAGGCACGATAGTTACCTGTCCCTACGCACTATCCTGATCTTATTCTTTACTACGAGGAAATGCTTTCTCGTATCGTTCGCGGGCTTCTTCGCCAGTAATTTCGCCCTTCTCAACCATCTCACGCAGCCGTCTGCCAAGGGCTTGGGCCTCGTCGGAATCATCTCCACGCTGCATTTGTTCTCTACTGTCTTCCATGCGTTCACCTTCAGCCGGTTTTTCGTTCAACCATTTTTCCAGCGTTGCAGGTTCTACCCCAATTGCCTCTCCGACAGCCCCAAGCACATAGGGATCGGGACGGAGCATCGGTTGCGTGAAAGCAAAGTTGTATAGCACTTTTCCGTCTTTGGCGATAAGAACCGTCTGTGCCACACTGCGATTTAGTCCGTAGCTGCCTGGTCCCTCGCGTCCGTCTGGAGAGATACCGAGTAGAACATCACTTGGAATATGAGGCACAATTTTGCTCGCCTGTTTCGCCAAGGTATCTGGTGTGTCGCCTAAAAACACAACGTTTAGATGCATTTTCTGTTCAGATTTCTCGGCGATTTGAGCGAGTAAACGTGAAATACCAACTAACCCGCGCAACCCGAGACCACTTTCATCCTGCAGGAAGAGAACGAGTAGCTGTCCGTCTGCCTTGGCGATGAGATCAGAGGTCTTGTCCTTAGTTTCACCGTTGATGCTCTTAGCCATCAATGGTGGCAGTTTTTCGCCGGGTTGTGGACCGGAGAAAAGCTTCTCTCCCTGAATCTTCTTGAACTCAGCAGGATTTTTTACCTCAACACGAGCATTACGGTATCGGTTTTGACTTTCCCGATTTGCTAAGGCGCGGCGAGCTGCCAACCTTCTTCTTCATTCAATTTGCCATCGCCATCTTTGTCAAATCGCTTGACCAATTCTTCCAGTGAGGGGTCTCGTCCGAGCACCTTCACGCTCCATTTGCTGTCTATCGCGCTGCATCTGTTTATCTTCAGCAGGTGCTTCGTTTAACCATTTCTCTACTGTTGACGGATCCTCTCCAATTGTCTGTGCGATGGCACCGAGGAGGTATGGGATCGGCATAGAGCAAAGGTTGTGTGAAAGCAAAGTTGTGAAGCACTTTTCCATCCTTAGCGATAATAATTGTCTGTGCCACATTGCGGTTCAATCCGTAGTTACCCGGTCCCTCACGACCCTCCGGAGAAATACCGACTAAAAACGTTCTCCGGCACATGCTGTGTAATTTGTTTCAACGCAGCGCGGATCATCGCTGAGAAACACAACACTTATATGCAAATCTTTGTCAGATTTTTGGAGATTTTATTGACAACACCCACAACATCATACAACCCACGCAAACCCACGCCACTCTCGTCTTGCAACAAAAGGACATGCGGTCTTCCATCTGCCTTAGCGATGAAATCAAACGTTACGTCCTTTGCGCCACCGCGTATACCGGTTGCTTTCAATGATGGAAGTTTCTCACCGGGCTGCGGGCCGGAAGAATATCTTGTTTTCTTCGGACGTGTTGAAACCTGTTGGGTCAGCGACTTCTACTTGACGGCGATTTTCATATTGACGTTCTCTGTCCATCATCTGAGCATCATCTTTTGTCTTCTTGAGAAGTTCTCACCTTCTTCCCAAGTGATTCCCAGTTCTTCAAGTTGAAGCGATTCCGAGTAAGGAACCAGAAGGACACCACCAGCAGGGATTTTAACATCCCTATTGAAGATTAACCTCCTCTCGGTATCCAACTCGGTGGTGACAAGTTCCAGTGCCCACCCTTTCAAGTTCAGTTCGCTATCGGTTGGATTACGGAGTTGCATCCAGTCATGTGCATCACCAGAGGCATCGTCTATCTCTTCAATGATGACATACTTCACCTTTTTCTCGTCGCTGCGCTTCGTTGTTGCTTTATTCAACCATTTCTCCAGCGCAGGGGCATCTGCGCCAACTGCGTCTGCGATGGCACCGAGGAAATGTGGATCGGCATAGAGCATCGGTTGTGTGAACGCGAAGTTGTGTAGCACTTTCCCATCCTTGGCGATAAGAATGGTTTGTGCCACATTGCGATTCAGTCCGTAACTCCCCGGTCCTTCACGACCATCAGGAGATATCCCTTTTAAAACCTCATTTGGAATCTCTTTTTTTAACATGTCGTGTGCCCATTCAGGTAAGGTATCAAGATCATCTGCAAGGAACACAACACCTATCTGGAGCCCTTGATTAGACTTTTCGGCATCCGTTGCCTTGCTATGCCTTTTTTGGAAAGCATCAATTTGAAGAAGCAACTCGGACACTCCATCAAGTCCTTTTATGCCGGCTGTATTCGTGTCTTGCAAGAATAACACGAGCGGCTTTCCATCCACCTTAGCGGTGATATCAAATGTCTTGCCCTCAATTTCGCCACTAATGCCGGTCACCTTCAACGCTGGAAGTTTTTCGCCGGGCTGCGGTCCAGAGAATATTTTGTTTTCTTCAGACTGCCCAAAAAGCGTTGGGTCCTTCACTTCAATGTGTGAATCATCTTTGTACTGTTTCCCGTCCATCTTTCCAGCTTTCGCGTTCTGCATCTCCGGCTTTTTCTCAGTCTTATCCACCACTTTTTCTGATTTCTGAGGTGTCTGCGCGAACAGCGAGACTTGGAAAGTTCTTAACGGGACCAACTGTGCCATTGCTAATAAGGGCAGACAGGTTAAGAGTAAGGTCGCTGCCAACAGCAATAAGCGAGGCTTCGGTTTCAGGTCTAACCGCCTGTTGTGTTTCAAGATGGAATCAATCCGAGATTCCAACTGTGATGGTTGATTGAGTGACAACGCCAGTGGAATAACCCGATCTTCGTGACGAACCAGGTCCAATAGACACTGGGCATAATTCTTACGCGCACCTGTCAATTGAATAACCCAATCGTCGCAGATTCGTTCTCGGAGGTGGACAAGCTTTCGGTTAAGTATATGATAAATTGGGTGAAAAAAGAAAATAGCACCAACAAAATGCGAAAAGAGGTTCGTCAACCAATCGAGTCGTTGCACATGCGCTAATTCGTGAGCGGCTACCAATTCAAACTGCTCCAAATTTAGTTTTCGCGGAATCAGGATAGATGGCGATAACCAACCAAAGGAGATCGGTGATACGACCCGATCCGAGAAACAGACGGTGACCGGACGATTTATGTTCAGTTGTCGCGCCAAGCGTTGACAGATCGCTTGATATGAATCATCAGCCACCACTGCACTGCGTCGGAGTTGATGGATTCGGCACAAGCCAAACGTCAGGCGGATCAACATCGTAAATGTGCCGATTGCCCAAATACAGAGTATGAGATCAATAGTTGCCCAGTTTAGGATAGACGTGCTGCCAGTAACCAAGTGGCTTTGGGATTGAGTGGCACTTTCAATTGATGAAACTTCTGGTAAGCCCATATCCTGAGTCGCTAAACTTGATACATGTACAGGCTGTGCCTGTGTTAATTCAGGAACCGTGCCGCCGATTGAGAGTGCTGGAACAAACTGATTTAATGCGAACAGGATCGGCAAACTGAGTAGAAACAATAGCCAAAGCAGATGGACAGTGCTGTTGGAGCGGTAGGAACGCCTCGTGATAAGCCATGTTAAACCACCCAATAGCCCCCACTGCCATGAGCAGTTGAGTAATGAAAACAGGATTTGCTTAGTCATCGGTTCCTCCTTTGGCGTACTGAGTTCCTGATAATTCTTCCGTCTCCGGTTGGTAGTCATTAATCAGTTCTTGTAAACGGTTGAGCTCTGCCGAACTGGTTTGTCGAACTTCAAGTAGTGTGTTCACCAGTTTTTCGGCTGAGTTGTCAAAAAGGTTTTCCAGCAAATCGTTGAGCATGGAGTGGGTAATATCCGCTTCGTTTACCAATGGTTGGTATACGAAGGTCCTGCCATCAACTTGATGCGACAATAAACCTTTCTTCTCGAGGCTTTTCATGGTGGTGGCAACGGTGGTATATGCAAGTTTCCGGTCAATGTTATCCAAGACATCGTTAACCGTCGCTTCTCCCTGTTTCCAGACCGCTTTCATCACCTCAAGCTCTAAATGGTGCAATTTCTTGGTTTTCATCTGGTGCTATCCTTATCTAATGGGTTCAATTGATTTCCTATGACTGGTAAAACAAAACTTCGCCGCGAATGTCCGTAATTACGCGTAATAAATACTATTTCTAAATACGTAGTAATAGTATTATACATCCTATAAAACTGTTTGTCAAGTTAAATTTGAAAAAAATGTCTAATTTTACGAAAATTTGTAAAATAATCGTAAAAAGTAGACCGTATCTCATAAAAAGTCTTTTAATAAGTAATCATCTCTGTTAAACCAATACCTTCGCCAATTATCTGAGCTTGAGTTGAATGGATGTGTAATGAATAGAACCATAGGTGTAAATTTAGCGGTCCTCCAGGCCCGGTAGGTTCGGTTTCCTAACCGAACCGGGCTTGACCTAACAACGGTAGGATCTTTTGAGAAACCGCACCGGTGCCCCTCCCAATCCGTCTCTTTGGCACTCTTATTTTCCGTAGTATCCGCTACATCGGTGCCAAACCGTATAGGCATTTTCTGAGAGGGTCGCCGCCGGACGGTTTTCGCGGAGAATCCGGTGCGGTTAGGAAACCGCACCTACCGGACCTGGAGACATGGCGTGCCGCGGTTCCTTAAATTTACATCTATGGATGTGTAATGAATAGAACCCATTGATCCGTGATGTTCAAGGATTTCATGAATAAAAATATCTTCAGGTTTTTGCGGAAGTATTTTAAATCATGTAAATACTTCAACCGAGTGTGTAAAGTTTTTGGAACCACCCTTTTCTAATGACAGATAAGTTTCCGCACTCCAGCAGAGTGCTATTGCTTCGCAGTGAGAATAGAAAACGATCCATTTTTGGCGAAGGTATCGTTAAACTTTTGAGAATATCTAAAAGTTAGGAGATGGTTTGTATGGAATTGCGTGATAAAGCGTGGCAAATCGTTGAGCCATTGTAGCCCGAACTACCGACTGGACAACGGGGGAGACCTTGGCGTGGGCATCGAGAAGTGTTAGATGCGATACTTTGGGTGTTGCGGACGGGTGTGCCGTGGCGTGATTTACCGAAGAAGTATCCACCGTATCAAACGTGTCATCGTCGTTTCCAGAAATGTGAGCAAGAAAGCGAAGTAGTGAATGACACTAAGTTAAAAAAATTGTTGTGGAAACTCGCCTCAAAAACACAGAACCTTATCACGAATTCAATTCTTATTTGCGTCATTGTTCATTTGTGCGATTCGTGATGAACAAATCTTTCTGGCACTGTCGGACAAACCGCCGACGAATTTTCACTTACGGGTCAAAATGGGCACCCGAAGGCCCAATACCAGAAGTACGCTGAGTCTGAGGGGGGTGATCAGGGTTCATACCCAGACCCAACGACCAAATTCAGTTTTTCACTTCGTGATTATGCGAAAACTAAGTTGAGGCCATGTTATCTTGAAACTTTCAGATCTCCCCAAGTGAGAGCTAGCTTATTATTAGCAGGACTTACGACAGCCCATCCTCCTGCATCCATGTTTTGGTTGATTTCGTCTTCACTTAGCGCTCGATTATAAACGCCAAGTTCGTCGACGAGGCCTTTGAAGTAATAGGCAGCATTAGCAGGAAATAGCCTTGTTCCAAGTAGCCAAGCTGTAGGGATCGGACCTGAATAAACTTCTGATGGGAATTCACCCTCTAAAGAACCATCAACATAAAGAAGATATTTATCATCAAAAACAACAGTGAGGTAATACCAAGCACCCAGCGTTTCAAGAAGCCCCGCGGCAGAACTCAAATCTCCACCGCCAGGAGGCCATTGACCAACGTTCAATCCACCATCATTCCTCACGTAAATATAGTTTTTAGTCGATCCACCCTCTTCACCGCCCTGCCATAGGAAGCTAGGCGTCTCGTCCCTGTTATTTATGTACATCGCAACTGTAAGTGGCGGATCCATATTCAAACTCTCGGGAACTCCGAAATCCACATAATCATCACCATCAAACTCCAGGGCCTGACTGACTTTACCTTCAACCACTTTGGGGTCGCCCTTCATGGTTCCATCATTTTTACCAAAAACGTCTTTAACGGTATCACCATCTATATCAGCCTTATCAAAGGTCCAGTAGCTAACCAAACCTTTAGTAACTACTTGAGCTTTCGCCATGTTTGCACACATAAAAATGGTTGCTATAACGGCAAAAGTTATGACCAACATTTTGTTAAACATTTTGGACTCCTTTTCGTTGTCCAGCAACGGCAGAAATTACGGGCAGAAGTTTGCTGTTGCTCTCTTGATTGAACAAACTGAATTGGGTCGTTGGGGCTGGGCAAAACCCCTTCCACAAATTTCACTATAACCCTAAATCTTTTTCCGAACTCACGTTATAAGACAAAACATCAACGCGAATGTTCTCAATTAAGTATTTGAAATACTGTATCAAAATACTATTTCTAAATGCGGAACAATAGTATTATACATCCTGTAGATATATTTGTTAAGTTAAATTTGAAAAAAATGCATAATTTTACGAAAATTTGTAAAAATGTGTAATTTGGGAAGTCGACTATTTTTTATTAGAATTTTCCAAAGACCCGCACAAAAATTTCCATGTAATTCTGGTCGTTAACACTCCCGATTGCGCGCTGGTCAATGTATCGTGCGCCGATATGCAGAAAAAGCTGCTTCCGGTAAGCGGTAAAACTTTTCTCCATCTCAGCCAACAACGCTTGACGGACAAAATCGTTATCGTTGTCAAGCATATCGTGAACAGGAGAATTTGCCCACCACCGGTAATCTTGATGGTTTTTGTGAACTGATAGACCACCTTGAGGATAAGGGCAGGTGCCATATCACGCACATGTGTACGTTCAATTAGGCGCAGTCGCAGCCCGCGTGAGATCTCCTCACCGTCAATTTCACCCATCAGAGGAAGGTATTCGATCCGGTCCTCTGCCATCCGGAAACCGTTGCGGATGGTATACTTGAACATTGGACTGATTTCCAGCGATTTAGAAGGACGCAAGCGATACAGCGTCTTGAAAATGCCGACTTCGTAATGTTCATTATCTCTGTCAAAATCGTAATCGTACTGAATCTTGGCACGTGCCGTCGTGACCATCCGGTCAATTCCGAGATATTCATACGTGATTTTGGCGGTGTTAATCAGGTCGTTCTGCATCAACAACGGATCCCTACGTCGTTTTTCGACCTCGGCACCCCCATCAACATAGAAGTATTGCAGATCTCCCTCTCTCTCCATTTTCTGGATTTCCGGTTGCGAGCGATAGAGGCGTTCGTCTTGTCTTCCCAAAAATCCAGCGTAATACCACGTTTCGTCAGGAATCCGATCCTTCACCAGTTTGAGTTCGTTCTCGAAAATGAGCGAAGAAGCCCGTGCAAGTTCTTTTCGATAAACGAGGTTAGCGAACGCTTTGGTTGAAGAGGGTGTATTTCTGAGTTTGATATTTTTCTCCATTTGTAGCCCAAGATCCAGATCTACGACACTCGCCTGGCGGCTTATCTTCCGGTTCATGAACAACCGGATTCCTTGCAGCCCGACATCAAATTCGTAATTCGGGTCTATGTCGTTTTCCTCCTCGTCCCGGATGCCGTTGTTGTTCCGATCGCTTTCATCAAGGAAATCTTCGTCAACATCAAACAACAGAATGTCATCTTCATAGTCGAAGATGCCGTTGTTGTTTTTATCCAAGTCACCGGGAATAATCAGGGAAGGCGGATCAAGAAATGTGTTATCGGAGTAACGATCTTGGTCATCGTTATCACCGACAGAGCGGGAGGCATCAAACCGCGGACCGACGCGAAACGCTTCCGCCTGAAAGATCGTGTCGCCGACGGTCTGAAATGCTTTGAGCACCGTTGTTGTTGCTTCAAAACGCGATCTCAAGTTTTTCTGCAACGCGCTTTTCGGCGTGACAGCCACCTCGGCTTTCAACCCGTAGTTGGTGAAATTGGTTTCCAGGTCCACTGCCCATACGGGTACCTCGCGGAAGTACCAAGAAAGCCCTAACTGCGTTTTTCCGAATTTCGTAACTTCGCGCAAGCCGATGCCGGAGCCTTCTATCTGACCCTCTTGGCCGTTCAATCGGTTAAGCAAACCCGGCACCATTAGAATCGTCCAATCGGTGCTATTGGATCGGACCTCCCAACGGACACCGCTCAAGTCAATCTGATCAAACGTGAATTTCGTGAAGGTTGTCGGAACCTCGCCGAGACTTAGGATATTTTTGACACTGCCTGCGGTCTCCTCAATCACCATGACACTGTGGAAGCCGCGCCGAAAGAGACGGTCAAAATCGAAATCGTCTTGCCTGACGCGCTCTTCCTCTGTATCTGCAAGGAAGTTTCGTCTGTTTGTAAAATCGTATTCGACGCGCCCGGATAGGAACAACTTACCGAATAGACTGTACACATCTTCCGCCTCAGCGTAGAACACAAGAGAGCAGTTCAATAGTAAGAGGAGAAAGCCAGAGATCAAGTACTTCCGGGCACCCGTTTTCGTGTCCATATCTTATTAGTTGTCAGTTTGCCTCGCAGTGAGAGTTGTCAGTTGTCAGTTACAAGACTGATAGCCGACAACTGATGACTATCGCAAAATATCCTCCGGTCCGTACGACTCTGTGAAGGTCGTCCAGATGCCTGTGCGTTTATCGAGACGGCTCAAGCCGCGGTAGGTGCCAAACCAGACATAAGTACGATCAATAGCCATAGAGAGGATACCGTTATGTGTTAATCCATCTTTACGCGTATAGGTTGTCCAAGTATCCGCGACCCGATCAAACCGACTAACACCTGCATTGTAGGTGCCGATCCACACCTCTGTGCCATCAACACCGATAGTAGTGACCTTATTGTTGACAAGTCCATCTGCTGTCGTATAGGCAGCCCAAACGTCTGTCTTTTCATTGTAAAACGTTACACCATTATCGCTGCCAAACCAGACGCTATCACCGTCAATAGCGATACAACTCACTTCATCGCTCGCGAGCCCGTCCTCTTTTGTGATTGTCCGCCAGATGTCCCTACCGATGTCGTATCGACTCACACCACGCCGGGTACCGACCCAGACATGTTTCTTGCTTGCCGTGATACACCAAATTTCATCGGTGACCAATGACTCCGCGAACTCTTTGGATACAGCGGACGGCTGGATTTCGGTTCCTGATGTGTAAGCGATCCAAGCATTGAGATCATCGGAGGTTCGCGGGTACTTCCCAATACCAGAATTAGTACCTACCCAGATATTGTTGCCATCACTGCTGACAGAAGTTACATTGTTGGCGGGTAATCCGTGCTCGGTTTTGTATTGGTCCCAGCGGAGCGCAATCTTATCAAAGCGGTTCGCCCCATCTCGGGTGCCGACCCAGACGTATTGCTCATCAACCACAATAGAACTTACCGCATTATCGGAGAGCATGCCACGTGATTTGGGACGGTGTCGGTTCCAATGACCGTCGTGGGTTGCTATCTCCTCCTCCCCTCCCGTCTGCCGATAATTCTTCCATGTCCCCAAAACCTTATCGTAGCGAGACACACCGTTGTCGGTACCAGCCCACACGAACCGTTCGTCTGTGTCCAACGTTCGGACGGTACGTCCAGAGAGCGTCGGCAAAGGCGTGAACGGAGTCCAGGATTCCTTCTGTTTATCGTAACGGGAAAGCCCGCGGATGGTACCCACCCATACATAGTCCTCATCGACTGCAAGTGCATATTCACCGACGTGGTTATGCAGCAACCCTTTCAGGTTTCTAAATGCTGTCCAAGTACCAGAGGCGAAATGGAACCGCCGAAGTCCATTATTTGGCACAGCCAACCAGAGATAGTCATCGTCCGCAGCGAGTTCAAGAGTGCCACGTTCCGAGGTGATTGTTGTCCACTCACGATTGCGTCTGTCATATCGGGTAACCGCATTATCCCAGGGTCTGTACTGTATCCATACATCGTTCTTTGTCGCGATAATGCGTTTAATAGTTTTCGCAGCAAGCACGTCATTGGTTGAAAACGTACTCCACTCCTTCGTTTTTTTATCGTATCGGGATAGCGGACGGTTACTGCTTCTATCCCATTCCGAGCGCGCGACCCAGATGAATTCATCATCTATCGTAATCCATTCAGTGCCTCTTCCAGCCAAACCATCTTTCGGCTTGAATTCTTTCCATTCCTTAGTATCTTCATTGTAACGAGTGAGAGTCCGTCCGGATCCAAACCAAACCTCCGGGCCATCAACCGCGATCCCTCTCAATTTTTCACTTTCTTCTCTACGATCCGGCGTGGTGATAACTTCCCATGTGCCAGTTTCTTTATTATAGTGGTTCAACTCCATACCCATCATCGGAACTATCCACACACTCTTTTCACTGACAGCAATCTTGTCCAGATCGTCTGAAGAAAGTCCATCTTTCACTGTAAAATGTTGCCATGTATCTTTTGCTTTATCATACCGAAGGACACCGAAGTCTGTTGTGAACCAAGCAGCCTCTTTATCTACATAAGTCCAACGCAACACTGTCATCGTTTGTTTCTGAGTAGACTGAAAAATATCTAAGCGTGTGAAATGCTGCCACGTTTCCGTCGGACGATGAAAGCGTACAATACCACCGTTCCGCGAAGAATGCCAGTTCGAGAGCCAGATGTAATCCCCATCAAATTTGATGTGTGAAACACTTGTTTCAAGTAACGGCTCCCGCACCGGACGGGACTGATGCATCACTTTTTCACCTGCTAACGGATGATATTCAACGAGACCGACAGAGGTCGCTAACCAAAGTGTTCCCTCTTCATCATACACGATATCTCGAATATTATAGGGCACATCTGGTACGGGTTTCCACACTTTAGATGCGGGTGTCCAACTTCCCAAACCTTGTGGTGTGCCAATCCAGAGAGTCCCATCTCGAAAAGCGAGCGCGGTAACACTCGGAGGGGACAACTGTTCTGTTGCACTCTGTTTTCCTAAAGGCACAGAGACCCACCGCTGTTGGGTGTCATCATATTTTGCGAGCCCCTTATGTGTTCCTGCCCAAAGTACGTTTTTTTCCTTTTCGGCTGTGGAAAGCAGCACATTAACGTAGGTGTTGGGAAGTCCCTCAGCAGCCGGGTGCATCTGCTTATCCGCAATAGAATATCGCCAAATACCATCCGTGCCACCAAACCAGATGTTCTCACCGCGATAGAGGACTGACAATATGAGTGGGTTCTTGGGTGCGTCCGGTAGTGCAAGTAGCGACCATTTTTCAGAAGTCGCGTCGTACACCGCGGGCCCCGCGTTCGTACCGAGCCAAATCTGTTGTCCGTCGCTGGCGGGGTTTGAAACCTCTCCAGTAGTCGCTATAGCTGTCACGAAAGCTTCGCCTTCAGTAGGAAGATGAAATGCCCACTGTCCGCCAAGGTGTGTACATGAACCGAGCCCACGATCTGTCCCTATCCAAATCTGCGAGGAACGGCTTTCGGCGGGAATAGTTTTCAGTTCGCTCACTTCGCTGGCTGTCAGTTGTCGGCTGTCAGTTTTATAGTTTTCAGTTTTCAGTTGTCGGTTATCAGTTAAAGAGGACTCTGGTTCAACAGGTCCATCTCTTAACTGACCACTGATGGCTGATGGCTGACGGCTATTCGACTGACGGCTAATATGAACCGACATGATGTAAGGGGTTGGCAGTCCATCTTCTTTGGAGACGACTTCCCAGATGCGCGTTTGCGGAGAGTAAACAGAGATACCCGCCACTGTTGCCATCCAGAGGTTTCCGTCTGCATCGCGTGCTATGTCTCGGACATCGTTATCCGCCAGAAAATCGGATTGCTTGTAAATTGTCCATTCGCCGCTTACCTTGTCAAAGCGACTTACCCCATCTTCTTTACTGCCAAACCAGACATCGTTACCTTGGGTCGTAATCCAACTCACGTGATTGCTCGACAACCCGTCTGCTTTGGTGTAATGCACCCAAGTATTAACAGGTTTGATGAAACGATGCACGCCTGCATTGGCAGTCCCGAACCAGACCTGAAAGCCATCTGCACGGATGGAGGTGATAATGTTGCTTTTCAGCAGATCTGTTTTTGTAAATGTTTTGATGAACGTTTGATCGACTTTATTGTATTGACTGACACCTTCTTTTTGGGTGCCAAACCAAACACTGTCATCATCCACTGCAATCGTGGCGATTTCGTTGTCTATTAAACCATCTGATTTTGTATAGTTATTCCAAGAATCGGTATCCCGATGGTAGCGACTCACGCCACCTCTGCTGAACCTCGGGTCCTCATCCCATCCATGAGGATCGGGGTTTATCTCTCTATCCGTGCCGACCCAGACGTACTCCGGCTCGACAGCGATGGTTGTAATGACTCTGCTGATCAAGCCCTCTTTCCGGGTGCGGACTGCCCAGCTGTCAATCGTTTTGTCATAACGGTTGAGTCCGTTAGACGTTCCAAACCAAACGTAGTTTCCGTCCACCGCGATGGAGGAGACCTCGTCACTCGCGAGACCATCAATGCTACGAAAGGTTGTAAAGGTGTCCGTCTCCGTGTCGTAGCGGCTTACGCCTTCATCCGTGGCGAACCAGACCCACTGCCCATCAATTGCGACGGCGTTTACCATATCGTTCGCGAGTCCGTCTTCCATCGTGTAGTGGTGCCACTTATCCTGCTGGCGTTCCCATCGCGAAACCCCTTTTGCTGTTGCAATCCATACGTTGTCTGAATCGGCGGCAATACAGTTAACTTCGTTACTAACGAGTGTTCGTTCCACGGGCCACGTCTTTTCGGGACGTGTATCTACATCGGAATCTTCAGGAAAGATACTGGATTGTGGATCGGTGGTTACTAATGGGCCACAACCTACAACCATGACGAGGGGAAGTAGCAATAGGAGACATATAACCGAAACCGCATACGAATGTCTACGTTTGAGTTCCGCGCTTTCAAGTGCCATCGGAGGATCGCTTTCATCTGATCGCTTCATCATTTTTAGCGTTTCCTTCCACCCAAATTCATTCCGAGGGTGTCTCACTGTTTTACAGTTATTATGACACAAAAGCATTTCATAAGCAAGGAAAGTATAATAGGACTTACGCAATTTTTCCACGAACCCTACTTATTATGCGCAGCTGGCGAGGTGGCAAACCTCGCCAGCAAGGGATTTGCGTAAATCCTGTATAATTAACGAGATTTAGGAGAGGAATCAAAACTTGTTTGACAAAAATGCACAGATTCGCTACAGTATACCTGAGAAACAGAACGAACAACTTCAGTGACTATAGAGACGGAGGTATTCCCTATGCCATTTGGAGGCAACGACTGGCTCGCTTTAACCGACGAACGACACTGGAACCAGAGATGCAGATCTGTGACCCGCATCACCACTTTTGGGATTTCCGAACCGAGCGCGTCCCTTATCAACGGTACCTGCTCCATGAACTCATAGCAGATATTGACAGCGGACACAATGTGCGTTCTACCGTGTTTGTTGAGGCGAGAGCGATGTATCGCGCTGATGGACCGGAGGAGATGCGTCCTGTAGGTGAAGTCGAATTTGTGCAAGGATTAGCGGCTGCGAGTGCCAGCGGCTTATATGGTGAGAGTCGCGCTGCCGCTGCGATCATTGGGCACGCGAACCTAAACTTGGGTGAACGCGTCGAACCCGTACTGGAAGCATTGCAAGAGGCAAGTCCGAATCGGTTTCGGGGTATCCGGCACTCTGTCACCTCGGATCCGCACCCTGAGATAGGCGGAACTTCCGCATACAGAACAGCGGGACAACTGGCGCGTGAGGATTTCCGAGCGGGTGCGCGAGTACTGGCAAGTATGGGGATGTCTTTTGAGGGTTGGATGTACTTTCCACAGCTTCCCGAACTCGCAGATTTTGCGAAAGCGGTACCCGATTTGACGATTATCCTTAACCATATTGGTGGTTTGCTGCGGGTCGGTCCCTATGGCGGTAGAGATGACGAAGTGTTAGCAACTTGGCGGAGCGGTATCGCTGCTGTGGCGGCTTGTCCTAACGTCCACATAAAACTGGGAGGTATCGGGATGCCTCACACTGGGTTTGATTGGCATGAACGGGAAAAACCGATTGGTTCTGAAGAGTTAGCGGAATCTATAGCACCTTTTATGAATTACTGTATTGAGCAGTTCGGTCCAGAGCGATGCATGTTTGAAAGCAACTTCCCCGTTGACAAGGTCTCGTTTTCCTACAGTGTGATGTATAACGCCTTCAAACGGTTGTCATCTGACTATTCGGACGATGAACGCGCCGCGTTGTTCCACGACACCGCTGCTGGTGTGTATCGGATAGATGTTTAATTCAGATAGCAAGTCCTGAATATTATATCATGTACTTGCCCATGAATAGGGAGCACGCTAACGTAAGTAACCTTCGTAATAGACCTTACTACGGTGCCCGATTTGGTGAACACTCACCACCCGAATGCGCGTGTTAAAGGAATAAACGATTCGGTAATCTCTGGCAACTGTTAAAGCGGAATTTACCTCTGAATCTGCCTTTTAAGTGCCTTGTGTGGCTGGTTATCACAATTTTCGCATAATCGTTCCAGTTTTTCAAAGATCCGTGCCTTGACAGTTGGATGCAAACGCTGCATATCCGATTCGGCACGCGAGTCTAACTCTAACGTGTACACTTTAATTTCACCCGAACTCCTCTGGCAACCTCTTCAAGTGTAAACATTTCCGCTGTCTCCCGTTCTCATGATCTGCTATACGTTGATCTAACTCTTCAGCAAACTCCGGACGGAGTTCTAACCCTTCGTCCGGATCGTAGTGGTAGTCCTCAAAGGCGACCTCCAAAAGTCCATAAGCGACGTAAAGTTCTCGAAACGCTATGTCTAACTCCTGATCTGTCGGATTCTGTTTAAGCAACGCGACGAGCCGCTCCCGGACCGGGAAGAGCTCTTCGGCGACAAGGAACGGAGCAGCGTTCGGTATTCGTCCGGTGGCAACTCGGCGATTTTCTTCTCTGGCATCGGATCGCTGTTTAGGTAAAGCCCCATCCGTCTGAAATTCCGCTCTTTGAGCGTTGTTTTCCGGTTGGCAAGGACATATTCGCGTTGTCGTTTTAGTTTTTTAGCGAGCGGTGTATCTGGTGTGAGTCCTTCCAGTGGGTCTTCCTCGTACGCCTCCAGCCAATAGGCGAAATCCACGTAGTCGCCCTGAAAATGGAAAAACTCCGCTTCCAATGCCTCTTGCGAGCTATCCTTTGCGAGTAATACAGCAAGGCGTTCACGCGATTTAAACAATTCCTCGTTGACGAGGGTGTGGAGCAATTCTCGGAATTCGGTAGGGTTCATCTCGGTAATATTTGGCATGATGTTCTCCGTATGCGTCAAATTTCTTCAATGCTTATTATACCACAAAATCGGTTTAATGTTGAATACAAAAGCGTTTAATTCGCAGAGCCATTCAGTTTTCGGTTTTCGACAATCAGCAATCAGTTCTGGGAACCCATATAAACATGCCACCCTTACAGGGTTCAAGAGGGCTTCGGCACGCGTTTCTATAAACATGCCGTCCCGATGGGACTTGGGAAGATAAAGTTGTGGTGAAACTCTCAATTGGGGTCTCTTAGAAGATAGGTGCGAGGTATAGACGCACCGACGGAACTGGAAACAAGCGTAAATCATGAAAAACTGAATGGCTCTGGTTGAATTCGCGTGATCTTAGTGCTGTGAAATTCGGTTGATACTTATCATAAAACATGATAGACTTACTTCACAAGGAAAGGATAGAAAAATGAGAATTGACAGCGGTTATTTCTGGTTCCGACTCTTTAAAACGCGAGGCATAGGTCCCAAACTTCTGGGTTCGATTGCCAAAATATTGGAAGCAGAAAACCTAACTCCAGAACTGTTGCCACGCAACCAAAACGATCTCTTAGAGCAGTTTCCAGAATTGGCGAAAATCCTTAAGGGAAAAATCCGCGAAGAGGATAGAGGAGACGTATCCGCAGCGTACGAGCAACTTAAAGATCACGGAATCAATATTATCTATCCCGGACACCCAGATTTTCCGCCGCATATCCTTGAAATCGCACCGATCCTGTTTGTCAAGGGGCAGCAAAAACGCCTCAGGTCAGATAGCGTCACGATTGTTGGGGCGCGGAATGTATCGGATAAAGGATCGTAATTACGAGAAATCTGGCTGGTGAGCTTGTGGTAAGGGAATAAAGTATGTCTTCTGGGATATGCCACAAGTGTTGACTCAGAGGCGCACTTAGGTGCGTTAGAAGCAGAGGGAACAACGACACTCGTTCTGTCTCACGGCATCAGCAGCTGCGTCAAAAGTGCTTTAAGAAATCAATGGGATCGAGATGTACTTGCGGTTTCACAATTTGATCCAGATACCAAGTGGTGCAGCGGAATGCGCAATGGCAGCGAAATCAGCTTGTGTGTGCCCTCTCTAAGGCGGTTTTCGTTATTGAATCTGGACCTGAACGGGATACGCAAGGTAAAATGAGCGGACTTTAAATACTGCAAAAGCCGCACTTGATCTAAATCTACCAGCTTTTTGTCTCAACCCAAGCTGCCTTGACAACGCCCCAAAAGGCAATGCTGACTTGATTGAGTTAGGGGCTATAGCCTCAATCCCGCCAATGGTGCAAAGGAAATTGTTGAACTTATCTCTGTCAAGACAGTGGAGCCTGCTCCAAGTGTAAATCAGAATTCCGCTGAGCAATTGCCACTCTTTTGAGGATTTCGAGATGTCCTAATTGGGGTTTGTACAGGCGTATCGCTGGCGAGGTTTCAAACCTCGCCAGCAATGGTATAAAAGCGAATCTCTACTCACCTTGAATCAGTTTGAACTTATGCGCGGCTTCCTCTACACCGACAAATCGGCTGTAGATTGCCACGCGACTAAGCTTACCTTCCCAATTCCTGCCACCACTCGCTTCATCACCGAAAAGCAACGGATAGCGTTCCCAATTACTGAAATCGCCTTGCGTCCCGTTGCTAACATGGACAAGTTCACCGTTAATGTAGCAGTAGACGTTCCCCTCAAAATAACTGACGATGACGTGCGTCGGTTTCCCCAGTTCAATCTTACCGAAAGCAAACTCGCCACCTAACGCATTCGTCCCGGTCCGGGGCGTGCGGATTCTCACAGCAAAACTGCTGCCATCCTGCCCAAAAGTGAAGTTACGATGGGTAGCGTCGTTTGAGAACGAGATAATCCGCGCGGGACCACTCTGGTCCAGATTATCCGTCGTAACGAGACACTCAAGCGTTAATTGGTTGCTCGCCTGACATGCTACAAGAAGCGCGTCATTGACACCCTCGGTGAGAAATGCACCGCCGGTCAGATCCATCTGTCCATCTTCACCGATCGACGCACTGTCGCGGGGTTCAATACCTCCACTACCTTCAAGTGTGCCGTGCCAGAGAAAAACGAGTCCATCGCGCGAACCCGGGAATGCTGTGTGCGTCCCGATGTCAGTCGGTGCTTCCGGTGATACATGAATTGCCAGGGATGTCGTTGACGTGGCACCTTCAGCGTCCGTTACCGTGAGCGTTGCGATGTACTGTCCGAGGCTTTCGTAGACGTGCGTTGGATTCGATTCATCTGATGTTGTGCTGTCTCCAAAGTCCCAGTGATGTGTCAGGTCGCCCGCTGCGGAGAAAGTCACGTTAAGCGGCGCACTACCTTGCAACACATCAGCGGAGGCTTTTGCCTCAGGACGGAGTTTCTCACCCGGTGCGTATGGTGTAAAACGATACGCAGAACCACTATGCGGTGCAGCGAACGTATACGCTCCCGGTTGTGCTGTCCCGACTGGGACGACTTTCATGTTCCACGTATCCACACGATCGACTTTATAGGGTTGTTCTCCTTGCAAATCCAAGGTTATCGTTTGTGGGGCAGTCATGTAAACAAGGTAGTATTCCCCATGCTTGGCGAGGATGTATCGACCTGCGTCATCACCGATCGGTTCAAGCGTATCAAACGGCGGTGCATCGGTTTCCATGAAGTCTCTGAGAAATGCAATTCTCGGCGGACTCTCACCGCGCAGCACACCGCCTTTTGCCCACCAGAGGAGGTCTTCGGGATGTTTGTATGTCTCCCCGTGTCCGACATAGCACCCAGAAAGGGTGCCTGCCCAGAAGTGTTGTACCATCTCTTCCGCAGTGATATTTCCCCACCCTTGGGGGATATTGCCTTCATAGCGGCACTCATCGTAGATAACAGGCTTTCCGTATTGCGTGCGATAGTTGATACCTTGTGCCATGTTAGAGGTTTG